TACGGCAACGCTCTGCAGGCAGCTTCATCTAGAGGTCAAGAGCAGATAGTCAAGATGCTGCTCGACAACAAGGCAGACGTCAACGCGCAGGGTGGATACTACGGCAACGCACTGCAGGCAGCTTCAGCTGGAGGCCACAGGCAGGTAGCTAAGGTGCTGCTTGACAAGAAGGCAGAGGTCAATGCGCAGGGCGGAGAGTACGGCAACGCACTGCAGGCAGCTTCAGCTGGAGGCCACAGGCAGGTAGCCAAGGTGCTGCTTGACAAGAAGGCAGAGGTCAACGCGCAGGGCGGAGAGTACGGCAACGCACTGCAGGCAGCTTCATGGGGAGGCCACGAGCAAATAGTCAAGATGCTGCTGGACAACAAGGCCGACGTCAATGCGCAGGGTGGGACCTACGGCAACGCTCTGCAGGCAGCTTTATCTAGAGGCCATGAGCAGGTAGTCAAGATGCTGCTCGACAACAAGGCCGACGCCAATGCGCAGGCTGGATACTACGGCAACGGTCTGCAGGCAGCTTCAGCTGCAGGCCACGAGCAAGTAGTTAAGATATTGCTGGACAACAAGGCCAACGTCAACGCGCAGGGTGGATACTACGGCAACGCACTGCAGGCAGCTTCAGCTAGAGGCCACAGGCAGGTAGCCAAGGTACTGCTTGACAACAAGGCCGACGTCAACGCGCAAGGTGGACGTTACGGCAGTGCCATGCATGCAGCTGCGTATGGAGGGCACAAAGAGGCGCTTGAACTCTTAATCTCGAGTGGCAGCATCTCACAGCTCCAAGATTACTACGGCCGGACGTTGCTTTGGTGGGCAGCGGCTGGTGGCAACATCGCTACTGTGGAAGCACTCATCAATCAGCACAACGTCGACCCTCAAACAGCTGACAGGTTTGGGCGAAAGCCCTTCTGGATTGCTACGAAGAAAGGACATGGCGCAGTATCAAAGCTCCTGAACGGCTATATTGATGAAACTGACACTGAGCGGAAAGCGTCAACCAAGGTTAATAATGACCAGCCGTGTCTTGAATGCGACGTCTGCACATCGAGTATCCCGACAAGTGCACGTCATTACCATTGCAATTTCTGCACTGGTGGAGACTGGGACGTGTGTGAAGACTGTAGGAAAACTGAAGCCACTTGCGTAGAACCGTCTCACACTTTGGTTAAACGTACAATGCTTGATGGAGGTTGGGTCGAGGTCACAGGTTGAATCTGGCTGGACGCAGACCGTGGGAGTTCATAGTTGTATTTAGTCCATCATATCTGCACGTCCTCCAGTTCATCTAGATAGCCAACGAGAGTAGCGCATCGACATTTCAGACCGACACTATTGGCTACAGGAGTTGTAAGCTCTAAATATGGAAGACGACGCAAGTTTAACGGTGCGCGGTGGCAGGAAGGCCCTGGGATCGCTAGCATGAGAGCTTATATGACAAGCGACATCCCCACAAAACCATCAGTCAGCTGTAACGTAAAACGGGCAGGTCTTAGTGTGTGTTTTCTTACAATTATGCTGTATTACTTTAGACAGAATGCCTCAGCTGCAGACGTATTGTGAGATATAACAGACCCAACATACGCTGCTATGTAAGCGTACTAAATCCAGTCGCACAGACGCCTGTTGCTTGGTGCAGACGATGCATTGCGGCGAACCCATAAGAGCTCACGACTCACGCAGCTAGATGCGCTGATAAGTGAGCAGGATATGCTTACAAGGCTGTTCTATAACCTGTAAGCTCTAGAGTTAGAAAGAAGAGATATTCGTGGAAGAACCAGGGTGTAAAGCCAAGGTATCGCTTGATGCTGCGCACGTACCATGTAACAGCAAGGCCACAATTGTCGTATTTTTCGTACTGCAAAGTAGCAGACCATAGGATATCAACCGGAGATCAGATTCCAGGCAGGTGATAGATACTTTGAATGTGAGAACAGAAATTAAGTTGGGGTGGGAGTGGTCCCATCTCCGGATAGGGGATTTCTCGCTACCGTGTCTGTGCGCGCAATGCGCGGATTCGCGCAATGCGCCGAGACGCTTTATGCACCCATACTTCACAACACCACAACTCAACGCCACAATG